GACAAGCTTTCTTTTTAATGTATTCAAACATCTAACTAGAAAAAAAAATATCGTATTCGTCTACTGTAATGGTGGATTCGTTTCGCTAAATAAAAATAAAACGCTTGTTTCATATGAATTGTTGGTTTTTCAAACTGGTATAAATCCAATTTTTCAACCATTCAACCCCTTGCCTTACCATTTAATTTCCAACCATCATTGTAAGGCTAAAGCTTTAAATAGTTGGATTAAAATTGGATTAATACCAGTTTAAAAAACCAACAGTTCATAAGAAACAAGCGTTTTATTATTTACTCATCGAAACGAATCACTATTACAGTATACACAAATACACGATCTCTTTTTTCGTAGCAAAGCTGTCGGAAGGCAGCTTTTAACATTTTCACTGGATGCGTTAATCGTATCGACTCGTGTGCAATTATACAATACCGTTACATGTACGCCACGATGCCTGGGAACATGATTCAACAACGCTTTTACGTACGAGCCCAATTTTTCTCACGATCGAGAAACCAATCGGAGGTCAATAAAACTAAAAACGCGAAGCCATTAATTGGGAAAACAGATTTGGCTCGCGCAACGAAAACGATTCTTCCGTTCGACAACTTTCACCGCGCGATTCAAAGGTCGAAGGAACAAAAGACCTTTGTAGAAAGGGATAGAATTTAGTAACGAGGGGGGGTCTGTTCGCAGACCTAAAGAGAAAGTACAAAGAGGTTACCACCACCGCATTCGTCGACATTAAGGCGTTATTGGAGGGACGCGAGTGGTCTCGTCCGCTGGAAAACGAATTAGCCATAATTAAGCACGGCGACAGTAGGTTAAAAACATGGCTGTGCTCACCTAAGCTGCTGTCACGACATCCGATAAACTTGCCCTACTTTCGAAACGGTTAACAGAACGCTTTGTAAGCGTGAAACTGATTCGACGCGAGCGAACTCGACACCTTTTAATACCGAGTCAGGAACAACGCTTTCGCGACTAACTTTCGGTTTTCATTGTACGCGTTTTTATCAATTTTTTCGCAAATTGAAGAAAAATGACAAACCTCGCAGCAAAAAGCTTGATATTTCAAAGAAAACAAGACTTGTATTCGTTTTTGCATTAAAAATGATGTTTATTTCCGTGATTTTAACCTACTTTTAAATTCATCCATGATTACAGCATTGAAACAGTTTTATATTTTATCTTTATTTCCTTCGTTACCGAAAATGATCATTTCGTGGATCACTCGAAACTCCATATTTGACGGGACGCCAAAGAAATTGCACAGAATCGAACAAAATTTGTTTACAAACAAGTCTTGAAACATCAGCTGTGACAATATACATGCAAGAGGAATACGATAGAAGATATTTAAATCTATCGTAGTCCTCCTGAAACACATTTTGAACTAGCTACGTAGTGCGCATGCCTGGAGATCAAGATGGCGGCGGAGTGATAGGAGCAGAGGAAAGAAAGAAGAGTCGAATTGGCTAGGATTATCTGAAGAAAAAGTCGCTCTTTCTCACACAAATCTACATGAAATAATAGCTTTAATTTAATAAAATTTTAATCTTGCGTTTACAGCGAAACTCAGTTAGTTATTATTTCATTTAAGATAAATGAAAGATCGAAGGGATAAACTTATTATATACAATATAATGAGAATACGGTTTAGAATAAAGTTGGCTGGTTAAAAATGCAATTAACCTAATAGATTAGAAATAAAATAAAAGTGACAAGAAACAAACATGGCGTTTGACTGATATTCAAATTTAAAGGTACATTTGTACAATCCTGTGCAAAAAGGGCGTAGAGTAATCCGCAAGCCTGATCTCCTAGTGTTGCTAAAGTGGCGAGTTTCCACGCGATTCGATGCAACCTAGAAACGTCGAAACGTGATCTCTGTTTTCGCAGTGAAATTGCTACGGGTTCGATGCGTGCCCTCTATACGAACAAGCATCCTCGATCCACACACACGAACATGGTGTTCGAGTGTTGATCGGCGCGCGTAGGACTCGATTGCAGCAAGCAACGAAGCGATCGTGTGAATTTATCATCGATCTAGATAGAAAGGGAAACAGAAAGACCGTTCGAGGAACCTTTTGGCTCGCTGCTCCCCCTTTTCGTGACAATTCGCTTTCGTTTCACGACATCATATCGATAACACACACGTAGAAATGCGCGCTCGCGTGTGGAATCCACACATCGTCGATCGCGAAACACTTTCACGGTGACCTTTCGCGATTCCTTCGTGGGATCCTTGTGACTCGGGGAATTGAACGATCTAGGCGAGCTTCCTCTTGATCACGGTTCAGATATCGAGGCTTTGCACCACCGACCATAACTGTAGTACCACCTCAACGCAACAAAAGCAATTGTAGAATCGAATCTTGTGAATTTATATTCGCTAAAAATTCCCCGAGAAATTTGGCTGAAATTCTTTCGGATCTTCTCGCGCCCCCTTAACAGTTGGACGATTTGCAAACACACGGAGCCTCTGTCCGTTACCTGAAGGAACATGGGGAAAAAACTGGAGACGGTTTGAAGTAGCTGGGCAAATGCGACCTTAGGTAACTCGTCTCGCGTTAATCTTGGCTCGCCCTCTTCAAGGCCGTACGTACGGACCAAGAGGCACTGAAGATATTCGTACACGAGACGACGTTGTAGCTACACTTTCGAGTGCCGTCTGAGTGCAGAAGAAACGTCTGGAGATTTTATCGTCCGCCAAACTGCGGATCTCGTGCTTCGATGTCGGACTCTCCGTTTCGATGTCCACGATAGTGTTGGCGTTCGATGATAACTACGAGTCGGGGAAGCATTTGTACGCCTCGTAGTATTTTTAATACTTTATCGACTGGTAACCTAGGAAAATGGACAATTTTATTAGATTCAATTACCCTGTAATAAGCGAACAATGTAGTAAGTTGTAAAAGTTTTATTTAATATTTCTATGGATATATACATCGTTCAAAAATGGTTGGAAGAAATTATTAAACTAAAGGGAGGATCCACTGATCACCAATTAAAAAACTATAGTTAATAAGTTTGTGTCTCGATCGTTAAAACAGTTTGATGTGTTAAAAAAAATTCTGTAGGGTCGATAACGTAGAGTCAACCCCGCTACCGGTCGGTAAAGTGTTCAGATACTCGTGTCTCGATCGGTAAAATAGTTTGATGTGTTCAAAAAAATTCTGTAGGGTCGATAACGTAGAGTCAACCCCGCTACTCGGTCGGTAAAGCGTCGAGAACTTTGGATAATTTATTTTTCCTCGTCTTTACTGCGGATCCTTTTGTTTTCGGTGTACATGGCCGCCATTATGGTCCCGCGACACTCGATTAAACGCAGTGGTACGTTTCCTTTAACATCGTTTAATGAATTCTTGATTAATATGTCCTGCGTTTCTACAAATAGTTATTTAACGAGACTCGGATAAACGTTCACTGCGGAAACATTTTATTTCTCGAAAAATAATATAAACGCTCGCCTGCGTCGAATAAAGAACGTGTTTTAGAAAGTGGAGTACACGCTTTGTTTTTTGCGCTTCGACAGCTCCTTTTAAATGAAATTCAGCGACCTGTAACTTCATGTCATTCAAGGCAAAAGCAATTATGCTAGTTTGCACGAGATAATCGCGATGATTTATCTTTTTTTTTATATAGAACTAGTATAATTGGTATAATTTATGTAAATAACTTTGTGATATTGATTTAATATTAATTTCTATGAATTGCCTAAAATAATTTAAAAAAAAAATAACGATACAAACGCAAATTTTGTTCAACTTTAATGTTGAGAACAACCAAAACAGTGTTGGATTTTTAACTCAACGAACGTTTGAATATACTTGAAGATATTTTAGTTTCTTTGTATCTTTGTATCCTCGTGTACCAACGTCGATAAGTACAGTTTCCTTATCGAGGAATCTTAACAGTATCAGGAAATGATAAAAAAAACTATTACTGTTGGGCTCGCAGACCGAGAAATTTATTCGGTTACGACAAAAAGGTCGGTGGTTGATTAACAAAACGGTGTAAGCACTTAAGTGCACAACTTTTTTGTACGTTCATGCTTCGCGTAATTCCGGAACGACTTTTAACGAGTTTCAGAAACCATACTTGGGATCCAAAGGTGTGTAAAACTCGGAAATGTTGCAGTACGGTTTTAGTTTTCGACCTACGGTAACGAGCATAACTGAACCAATAATCAAAAGTGTTGTACAGGGAGTTCAAAATGAGACGAAATTAAACTCAAAATTCAAAAATTCCAAATCATTCTAAAAAAATTATTTCTAGGTTCTGGAGTTAATTACAATCATTTTCGGTCATTACACATACCCTCGAAATCCTACCCACTTTCGAGAAAAAAATTCAATAAGTGGACAAATTTTTCGTCGAAATTCAAAAATTTCAAATCATTGTAAAAAAATTATATTTACTTACAGGGGTTAATTACAATCATTTTTGGTCATTACACATACTCTCGAAATCCTACCCAGTTTCGAGAAAAAAAATCGAGTAGGTGCAGAAATTTTTGGCCAAAAAAAAATTTTTCAAATCGTTCTAAAAAAATTATATTTAGTTACAGGGGTTAATTACAATTATTTTTGGTCATTACACATACTCTCGAAATCCTAACCAATTTCGAGAAAAAAAATCGAGTAGGTGCAGAAATTTTTGTACAAAAACAAATTTTTCAAATCGTTCTAAAAAAATTATATTTAATTATAGGGGTTAATTACAATCATTTTTGGTCATTGCACATACCCTCGAAATCGTAACCATTTTCGAGAAAAAAATTCGAGAAGATGTGAAATTTTTCGACAGAGTTAAAAAAAATCGGTTGATTTTTGCGCCCAATTAGAAGCTAGTGTGTATCGTAAAAATGATAAATTACCATGCCTCTCAATTATTGTTGGTTCTGTTATGCTCCTTACTGTAGGAGCAAAGATCGAAAAAGTAGATTCACGTAGGTTCTCTATTTTCTTTCCTCTTCTAACTCTGTATTCTGATTTCAGGCAGTGAAACTCGAGTCGGTGCATCAAGGGAGGACGCGATATTTGGTGGTCGTGTCCTGTACGGGGAGGCAAGATGCCGAGGAGAGTTGCCTTCTTGGTATCGATTGTCACGACAGGGCGACCGTAGGTCTGGTACTTCGGGTTCTGGCCGACACTGCCATTACTCTCGACGGCGACGGGTACGTTGACTGTTTTTCAGCTATTTCCCAGAAACATAGAAACCTGGTAATTTCGTTGGGAGAACGCATGGTTTTGTGTATCGGTGCATACGCACGGTGTGAATCATATTTAGATAGCGCGCCATGCGAAAGCTGGATTCGGTGCAACCACCTGTAAAGGTTGGCCGTATGAGTAACGTTGTTGAAACTCCGGCCTCTCCGGAGTCCCAACTCCATCGCGAATAATAGGAATGCAAATCGCCGTTAGCGATGCACCGACCGATTCCTGCGTACGCTCCGGACGAAACGAACCAGTCGAGAAACGGTATGACCCTAGTCGATGGCTCCGCGACTGCAGGCACGACCTTCCACCGTGACCTTGGGGAGGCTCACCTGTCAAGTAGGCTTGTTCTAACGTGGCCGTACTGCGAACGCGCTCCATTTCCCTACGCCCGTATTGCCCGAGCGAAAGAGAGTGGCGGCGGCCTTCGTGTTCACCTTTACACACCGGTAGCCAAATGCGTTTCTCGATCTGAGACTCCCAATGTACCGTTCGCGAGCAACGCGTCTCCTTCCCGTGCTTTTCTCGAAAACCTACGGTGAATACCTCTAACATTCGGGCACTAAACAATTTCTACTTTGTCCCATTGTAATTTTAGTCACGATAAAGAATAGAAACTATTAATTCTAAATTACATTAGTGTATAGGGGTCTGGTTGATAAAAGAATAAATTTTATTTATACAGTGCGTTCGACCAACCCTGGGGAAAATTTTAACGGGGGATTCTAGAGGCCAAAATAAGACGAAAATCAAGAATACTAATTTGTTGATGGAGGCTTCGTTAAATAGTTATTAACGTTTCAAGTTCAGTTAGTATTGAATTTTTTTTCTCGAAAATGCGCAGGATTTCGGGGGTATGTCTATTCACAAGAAATGATTGCAATCAACCCCCGGAACTAAAAATATTTTTTCCAGAATGATTTGAAATTTTTTTCCCCCGTCGAAAAATATCACATTCTCGAATTTTTTTCTCGAAAGTGGGTAGAATTTCGGGGTTATGTCTATTCACCAAAAATAATTCTAATCGGTCCCTGTAACTAAATATAATTTTTTTAGTGTGATTTGAGATTTTTTAATTTCGTCCAAAAATTTCAGTACCTACTCGAATTTTTTTCTCGAAACTGGGTAGGATTTCGAGGGTATGACCAATGACCAAAAATCGTTGTAATTAACCCCTGTAACCGAAAATAATTTTTCCAGAAGGATTTGAAATTTTTTAATTTTGTCGAAAAATTTCACACATTCTCGAATTTTTTTCTCGAAAGTGGGTAGAATTTCGGGGTTATGTCTATTGATCAAAAATAATTCTAATCGGTCCCTGTAACTAAATATAATTTTTTTAGTGTGATTTGACATTTTTTAATTTCGTCCAAAAATATCAGTACCTACTCGAATTTTTTTCTCGAAACTGGGTAGGATTTCGAGGGTATGTCCAATGACCAAAAATGGTTGTAATTAACCCCTGTAACCAGAAATAATTTTTTTAGAACGATTTGAAAAATTTTTGACAACTCTAATATACGTATTTCAAAATAGTTTTTTTAAATTTTTACGAGTAGAAAATATAATATTGAATCAATGGAGGCTACAGGAGAAATCTGACGACGGAATTGGTTTTTGGAAATGAGCATCGAATTTGCGTTTATAGAGTAACCAGTAGCTCGAGGTTCGCGTGGTTTTCCACAAGTTGGGGCTTTTACATAATGCGTAATTAACGGTTATACCAGATGTGCAGTGCGTGTCGTAACGCGCCTGCAAGCGAGTAGTTGCGTTACCGTTGCAATTGCAATCGCAATCGCAATTGCAATTGCGAGTAGGGAGTTGGGGGTTTGCTCGTCCGCGTGACAATCGTGCTTCGAACAGCGAGATCGAGATTTTTGAATGATCGTCGTGTCTGCCAGAGACACGTAATAAACAAGCACAGCCTCTGCCAAAGGATTCCCGGAGAGCAGAGGCGTTCCCTAGGTTGCCTACCGCCATCTTGGATTCCCCTTCCACCCCGATGCCAAAAGATTATTTTCGCTCGATTACTACTTATTTTTACTCCTCGTCTCTACGAGCAAAGTAAACACTCTTGACAAACTTTTTTAGAAGAAAATATTGTATCAGCAGTGTTCGTGGAATTAAAAAAATTATAAAATGGTACCTAACGTGGCTGGTAGTAATATCTTTCAAAGTAAACACTCAATAGTTTCAAAATTAAGGTATTAATTCCGTAACCCCCTTGCGTTAATTTAATTACAACTTTTCAAACGTGTACCATTAAATTTTTAATTTGAAGGGGGAGAAATATATTCAGACTGTGCCCCCCCCCGTTCGATATCGTGTAATTTATCGCGACATCGTGGCTCACGCGATGAATTTTGAGTTTCGTTTGTCCAGAAAACGAAGGTTCGATCTTCCGTAGATTTCTTTGCGAGTGCAGAGCATCCCCGAATGATCGAGTGTTGTTTTACGAACAGGGTGAAAAACGTAACGAGCTATACGCGCTCAAAAATAGCATCGAGTTGAATACAACGGTGAAGTCGATTCCTCACGGTTAGCAATAAAATAGCTCGTCGATACAATAGGTTCTCGCCACCCTGTACAAGACGATACTCGAACGTTCCGAGTGGTTCAAACTTTTAATTCCTTTGTCTGTTTTTCGTTGCAGAGGCTTCAGCGTCAGCGTTTGCGGCCGACAGCACATCTTCAAGCCGGTCTCGGTGCAGGCAATGTGGTAAGTCACGTTGTAAAATAAAAATAGTCGCATCGACTGCGGGGAACGTATTACCAAACATGGCGGACGCTTCGGGACACTCGTTACGAACGATAGTAGATTAATATCGAGACCCACGGTCAGTGATTACGTCCCTCGAAGTGTTTTAAACGTTCCTTTATCAGATTCGTGCATTTTGCTTATTGTTAGAGTTCGATTTACTTTCGAATCAGATAAATAAGATTTAGGGTATTTGTTGGGGTTTTGTAATGAGCTGACACATTCGATATAACTGTTATTTAGAAGTAAATTAAACACGTGTGCATACAAAGGCGATGCGTACTCTCAGGGAGACATATTTGACAACGACAGAAAAACAAAACAATATGTTCCTATCGATAACGACCATCATCGATTCTCTAACGGTATTCCATTGGGAAAAATGGTAAATAATATTTGCAGGTAAAATGGAACGTAACTTTTTGAGAATATTTTATATCCAGTTGTCGAATTGTTTACTAAGTTACTTTTAATCTTGGAACGTCGCGGGGCTGTTGACACGTTATCATTTCACAGCGATTTATGCAACCGGTCGCATATAGGTTATCAAATTTAGGTTAAGCGTTTCGGAATGCACACGTTGCTCAATCATGCGACTGCCAGTAGAATGATTCCGTGCGAATAAATGTAGCGAGAAAATGTTCTTAAAAGTGTGAAAAAAATTTAAATATTTCTAATGTTTAAAACTTGAAAGAAAATAGATAATAAAGTTTAAATAGAATTATTCGAATTTGATATATAGTAAAATTCGAGAAATGTTTACGTTCGTCGAGGTATCGGTGAAATTATTATAAACAAAAACACGTTCGAAGTAGTAATTGCAAGTTGTCTGGTTCCTCTTTTCCCTCTTTTTTTCTCGAGCGCATGCGCGTCTTTGAATGCGTTTCTCCGGCGCAGAATCCGCACGCGTGATTTACGAAGCGTACGAAACTCGAAATTTCCTATCAAATTACCACTTTCTTTCCGTACTGTTGCTTCATTACTCGTCGCGTTACCTAACGCGCTGCGAGAACATTACGAATCGACAGTACAGCGACAGCAGTGAAAGTAACCGGAGAACGTGAAATATACACATCCCAGCGTTGCCCACCTGCACTTGAAGCTCCAGTCTCCACGTCGGTGATCGTTAATTACTCGCGGATATATCCTAGAGGTGGCGGGATAATTATTTATACACATCTAAGATACAATAAGCAGCTTTCGATTCGTTGGAAAGATCCGTAAACTGCTCCTAAACGCCAGAGAAAATTATAATACCCCTTTAGGATTGCTGGAATCAACGACATAGGGAGGATCAACCCTATAACGTACGATTTAATTACAAATACTTTGTTCGAACATTTCGATTTTGTTTAAATTCGTTCGGTACACTCGATGTTCAGAAAAAATTTAATAAGGGATTTTAGAGGCAAAAATAAGACGAAAATCAAGAATACCAATTTGTTGATGGAAGCTTCGGTTAAGAGTTATTAACAATTAAATTCGAAAATTTCAAATCGGTCTGGAAAAAATATTTTCGGTTACGGGGGTCAATTAGAATCATTTTTTATCATTAGACATACCCCCGAAATCCTACCCACTTTCTAGAAAAAAATTCGAGAAGGTGTGAAATTTTTCGACAGGAAAAAAAAATTTCAAATCATTGTAAAAAAATTATTTTCGTTTGCGGGGGTCAATTACGATCATTTTTTATCATTAGACATACCCTCGAAATCCTACCCGTTTTCGAGAAAAAAATTCTAGAAGGTATGCAATTTTACGACGGGAAAAAAAATTTCAAATCATTCTGGAAAAAATATTTTTAGTTCCGGGGGTCGATTGCAATCATTTCTTGTGAATAGACATACCCCCGAAATCCTGCGCATTTACGAGAAAAAAATTCAATACTGGCGAAACTTTAAACGTTAATAACTTTTTAACAAAGCCTCCATCAACAAATCGATATTCTTGATTTCCGTTTTATTTTGGCCTCCAGAATCTCCCATTAAAATTTTTCCCAGTAGTGTCGAACCAATATTTAGATTATTCAAGTCGGAAGAATAGAAAATGGCGGACATATAATATCGAAGATGAAAATATATTATCACTCGGGCAAGGGGCGAAGGAAAGCATAGAAATAATTTGTATAATTCACGACGCTTTATCTACCAGATATTTGCAGTGTCGAATCAGTATTTAGACTATTCTATTGCGTCGAAAGAATAGAAAATGGCGGGCGTGTATAATGTCGAAGATGAAAATTTGGGTGTCGAGAATGCTCGATCTTTTATGTGATTGGGTAGAGGGGAATAATGGAGCGTTGCAGAGTCTGTTTGGGGGGTGGAAGCAACGTTTCAGGGTTACATAGTACAATTCGGTATAGTGACCATTCGTCGCGCCGCGCCCATAAATGGCGCGAGCGGTGGTCCATGGTCGCAAGCAACCAACCCCACCACATTGACGGTCGAGTCGACCGAGGCTTCTCCAAAAATAGGACGACGACAACGTCAACGACGATAGACCGACAGAGTTCTCGGTGCCGTAACGATAAGGTAAAAGACCCAATAGTTGGACGTGTAAGGCGCGGACCAAACGCCATTTAATTTTCTCCGCCATAGAGCACAAATCAAATTCTATTCAACACTAAACCTACCGGTATTTTCCTCATACCTGTTCTCATAAATGTCTACCATGTCTGCAAGCTCGCGCACTTTCAGTCAACGATTGTTCAATACCGTTTTGCTTGTAGATTTTCTTCACCATTTTCGGTATGGTCGCTTCATTTGCTCGTCCACCGCGGTGTTCCTATTGGCAGCTCGTATGGCCTCGTTTAAACTCTGCCAATATTTTATCGTTGCAAACGAAGGAACAGACTCCCTTAGAGCAGAATCTAGCTCAATTTCGATATTGGTTGGACCGCGAGACCTTCCAAATGAAACAACGATGACCAATTTTCCCCATGTTTACAAATTCACTGAGAGCCTTCGCTATCAACCCTTTGCACTCCTATGTCGAGTGTGATTCGACGTAAATTTTTATCTGAGGAGCTTCTTCGTCAAACTCCCACTCACCATTTCTTCAAGCCCAAACCAAAGAGATATCGTACACTTGAAAGTTACAAAACACAACAACAGTATAAATAAAACAGATATTTTATCAGGTAAATTAACAAAAAATAAAAGACTTAAAAGCTTTGGGAGCTGCTGGTAACAAGATTGAAATATAATTCGGAGTGTAAAGGGTTAATCGCTGTCGATCGAATATCGAACAATGTAGCGTCTTCAAGCTTGAAACCTGAGCTCTGCAAGGATGGTACTTTCCCGACCATAGTCATTTTTTTTTAAAGAATAACCGCCATCTATACCTCAGGTACAGGCCAGGTACTTCTGTGACCACTCTCGTACTATAACAATCTACCGTGATCTTATTTAAACTCTAAATAATAGAATCGTTGAGCAACTTTGTCGAAGGGTTGTCGGTATCAGATATGTACGTCAACGACCGTCGAAAGCGAACGTATTTAGAGAGGAAGCGGATGAATAAATGGGGGACTGTCGAACGTAATTAGACGCAGAACAATTTGTATGAGAAAATTGGGATGTGTTTTCACCGGCGTCAAAAGTATCCGCGGAGCGGAAGAGGAGCAGGCAAGAAAGTTCCTTATCGTCCGGTCGTGCATAAGACAATTGCGATGCCAACCAATTAAGCCACGGCCCACGCTTCATTTTCCCTTCCATTCAACTCGAGCCTCTTCCGCGTCGATACCATCTCTCGGTTGTCCTTCGATCCTTTTTTTTCTTCTTCTTTTTCGAGCATTCTGTCCCGAGCGACAGCCAACTTTGCAAACAGCCCTGCGAACTACAGGGTGTTCGGTCAACGCTAGGAAAAATTTTAACGGGGGATTCTAGAGGCCAAAATAAAACGAAAATCAAGAATACCAATTTGTCGATGGAGGCTTCGCTAAAAAGTTATTAACGTTTAAAGTTCAGCCAGTATTGAATTTTTTTCTCGAAAATGCGCAGGATTTCGGGGGTATGTCTATTCACAAGAAATGATTGCAATCGATCCCCGGAACTAAAAATATTTTTTCCAGAATGATTTGCAATTTTTTTCCCCGTCGTAAAATTTCATACCTTCTAGAATTTTGTTCTCGAAAACGGGTAGGATTTCGAGGGTATGTCTAATGATCAAAAATGATTGTAATTGCTACCCGCAATTGAAAATAATTTTTTCAGAACGATTCGAAATTTTTTATTTTTCCGAAATATTTAGACACTTATTGAATTTTTTTCTCGAAAATGGGTAGGATTTCAAGGGTATGTCTATTGACGAAAAATGATCGTAATTGACCCACGCAACCGAAAATAATTTTTTTACGATGATTTGAAATTTTTGAATTTCGACGAAAAATTTGTCCACTTATTGAATTTTTTTCTCGAAAGTGGGTAGGATTTCGGGGTTATGTCTATTCACCAAAAATGATTGCAATCTAGCCCCCTAGCTGGAAATAATTTTTTTAGAACCCATTTGCAATTTTTTTTTTTCGTTGAAAAATTTAGGCACCCACTTGCAGGTGCACGACACTACCTACTATTTGGAAGGTTTGAAAGGGTTACATCATCGCTAGGAGAAGTGTATATCGACTTGAGAGGAGACTATGCTGAAAAATAAAACTATATTTAACCGGAGAAATACTTATTTCTATGTTATGCTCGAAACTTTTTAGACTACACTCGTGCATTAAACTAAATACATACTAAGGGTCGAAACTCTGTTGTATTTCTTTAGCAAATGGGATGTGAGATCTGCTCGTATACCTCGTCCGTGCCTGAACTGCCAGGAAACATCGTACATTTCCTGAAACACTGCTCACCGAACATTCTTCGGGTTAGCCTATTTTAGAATGGCCGGAGCCGTAGTCCGGTTTTTGTTCTCTCTGGCATAAAAGATATCGAGTTTGCCGGTTTTCAGGTCGCGCCGGT